GGAGGAGGCGACTGATGTAGATGTGTAGTGAAATTTGTGTTTGTTTTTGAATAAGAAGTCGATTATGTTAGACTGGAAGAAGTAAAACGAGCGGTTGAAGTAGGGTGGGTGATAGTGACATGGAGTATGATCAGCCCTGCCTTATCAGGATAAAGAGCGGTTGAAGTGGGGAAGTCGGTACATGAAGTAGGGTGGGTGATAAAGACATGGATGGAGTATGACGAGCGGTTGATTTGCAATAAAACAGTTAAATTTGGCTTTGCTCTCTTTCTCGCTTTGAATCGGATTCTCTATTTTCTTTTGCCTACCGTGAGGTTCCTATCTTTTTATCTCCCTCTTTCTATCTTTGTATTTGGATTTGAAAGTTTTTTTTTTCTTTCGCTACTTTTCTCTCTCTCTCTCTCTCTCTCTCTCTCTCTCTCTCTCTCTCTCTCTCTCTTTCTCTCTCTCCCTCTCTCTCTCTCTCTCTCTCACACTCACACACACACACACACTCACACACACACACACTAACACATACACATTTAAGTCGTTTCTTTCTCTCTTATTTGAGAACTATTCATGGAATGGGACAAAAATATTGTTGATATATACAAATAAAAGTCACCTTAGTCGCTTATTAGTATGTGATCTCGTGTTGTACGTGTTCATGGTAATGGAGATGATATTCATCCTTACTTGCTAACATTTGTTAAATTCTGTTTGCCATTATTGTAGGGTTTTGTGCGTTCGTTCTTATGTTGTTCGACTTATTCTTAAAAAACAACCAGGTCAGTATCCCTTAAAATATAGACATGAGACAATGTTCGAAACCGGTTGAAATGAGTAAGAAGTTTGGGGAAAAAAAATGTAAGCTTAAATGTTTTGTGATATTATAATATGAATTTGATAAATAATTGGAAAGGAAGAGTCTCGATATAGTAAGATTAAAAAACAACAATAAACTTAGGCCGTCTTCCAGTGAACGGTATTGAAGAAAAGCAAAGGATGCTGGAGAATAATCAAGGTACGTATTATTGGTTTACATGGGCCGCTGAAAATACTCAGGCACTTATGTGAAACAAATTAAATGTTACTGGGAGGGTTGGGTCACACTATATATTTTTAATGAATATTGGAGAAGGAACCAATCCGATAACAAGGAATAAAAATAGCAATAAATATAGTCTTTTTTCCAAGGCACCCATGCTATCCCGAATGATCTCCTCCCTCCTATACCTGTTCCAAAAAGTCATGTTCTCTACCCCCTTTGCTCCTATTTCATCAAAGTCTCCCAAGCAAAAGAGGAGAAAAAAGGTGAGGCCATCAACGGTTTGCCCGACCTCGATCGCTAGGAATGGTTTTTCCTGGATCCACGACCTTAGAGGTTGGTTGGGGGGAGGTGCGGTACGCCGCATAGACCCATTTATGGGGGTGGTGCAATGTTGATGCGGTGGAGCCAACGCCTACTTCTGAGATCTGGGCCTCGTGCTCAGGCGAGGAGAATGGGTACTACGAACTACTTCCTAGCGATTGGGACTCGGAAAGGTTGGGAAAGACATGTTGCCTTTTTCAAATCTTTTGTGGACAGATGACTGACTTAGGATACCTAAGGCTGACCGCAAGTAAAGCCGCCTCGATTATGGTGGATTGGAGCCAAAAGAAGCTCCGATTCCAGTGATAAATTTATCCGAACAGGAAAGTAAGCCGTGCCAGAGAGTGACAAAGGGCAAACGTGGATAAACGAGGTACATATGACTCTATCGCATGAGGCCCTGAAAAGACTAAAGGGCGTATAGGATCATAAATTGAACATAAGAAACGAATGAGGCATACAAACAAAATAGGAGGCGTTTTAATTTAAACCTCAATAGGAGTTCAAAGAAGTTCCGGTCTCGATTAAACGTTTGCAAAAACATGAAAGTGGACCTATACATCTATATTTGCACGAACAAATAAATTCCGATGTGAATTGACATTGATTTACCTCGATAGACGCGCTAAAAAAAAATAAAAATGAACTGACTCCTTATTTTTTTTTAATCGTCTGTGCTTCGCATTTTTGTTGCGTTCTTTGTGTTGCACTACTTCTTCTTTGTTTTTTTGTTTTTGTTTTTCTTTTCTACTTGACACTATATTACTCTTCTTCATATAATTACATCTATGTATGGATGTTTTGAGGTGTATTCTTTTCGTTTCGGTTTTTTGTATGCATCTTATTCCTTCTGCCCGCCGTAATGTGCTCATGTACAAATACGTACATACGTGCTCATTAACATGGCAGAGGACCAAGGTCCACATGACGATTCAACCAACAGTAATTTATCCACCGTTCCAGCCTTCTCTTCACCTGCGGATAGGTCCTTGCATGTTCCGTGGAAGTGTCGCAAACGCCTTCGGCGTTGTGAAAGGGCTGTTAAGGATCCTCGGGTGTCTTCGCCAATGGTGTCAGAGTGTACTGGGTGTCCTTCCATTCTTCCAGGTCAAGTCGGTTTGTCTTCGTTAGACTACCCTTGTTCCTCATCAAACCATGGATTGAGATTGCGTATAGGTTCGAATATTACTCCCAGTCGCTCTGCGAGTGACACACCAATGTCATCACAACACGAACACCGCAAACGCGGACCACCAGTTTCTCAAAGTCGTCGAACCCGAAGGTCTTTCGAACAGGCGGTAGGTGCTGCAAGTGAGGGGATTGCTCCCAGGAGAGATAAGCAACCGATGGTAACTCAAGATAATGGTCCTGATGTGATAGGTCTCTATCTTTTCGACAAGCGATTCCATCGATCAATGATTTCACAAGCCCTATGTTTTTCAAAAGAACGAGTCAAGGAAATATTAATGTTCATACGGATTCTATTAGTTGTCAAGAAAATCTTTCTATGACCTTGCAAAGTGAACATCCACTTGAAATTCGTATGAATGTCGCAATAAATGCAGATTCCATTTCGATGGTCGAAAAATCGGTTTTACTCGATGATTTTCTCGTGCACTCGCCTCATGTGCACAATTGTTCATCGTCGACATTGATTGCCGACGTCCGGCCAAAATGTGTGGAGAGCAACCTTTCTCCCAGTTTCACAAATGTTCATGGACATTCATCTGTTGTTGCCACCGCCCAACCGAATTCTCCGAACACATCAAGTAAAATGTTTATTGGATCTCATACTCGACGGAGAAGATTATTATTGTGGAAACCGATTCGTTCAAGGCGCAAGAGATGGTACCGTATGTTGTTGATTCGACGACTGCGTGAGAATAAAGTCGTGCGTCGTTTGGAACTTGGATCTTTGTCGTTGATGCCTCACCATGTGTCATCGGGCTATGATGCAAGTGGAAAGGTTGTTGAAAGTACTGTAGAGGCTGATGAAGGATCGGAACAAGTCGATAGAACGAATGTGAACGAACCATGTTCTACGTCGCGTATAATTTCAAAACGAGGGAAAAGCGAGGGAAGAAGACCTAACTTTCATGTTAAACGTATGCGTGCATTGAGAGCTGCACTTAAGAATCATAGGAGGAAAGAAGATGTGCGTGCTCATAAAGATTTTAAGCGGGGTGTGAGGCGAAGTTTGTTCGCTGTGAATATTCTTCGAGAGATTCGAGCGAGCGTTTTTACTCGATTGAGGAGTGTATCTTCTCTTGGAAGACAATCGCTGAGTTGAGCTTCTCGAACGAGACACTCGCGGAGTCTGTCATAACGAGCGAGACAATCGCAGAATCCATCCGTGAGAAATCGAAATTTAATGAACAATCGTGAAGACGGTGAACTAAATAGTCGCGAGGAAGAAATGAATGATTCGCATGATGTTCCGGCTCCTGATCTTAATGCACTCCCATCGGCACCCGTGACAACAACGTATGCGGCGGTTGAGAACACGGTTGCAATTTTTGGGAATGCTAGCACTATTGAACCATTCGGGATTGGCGGTCGAGATCCGTGTAAGCATTGTGGTACTAAATTGTGGCATCATGAAATAAAATGGACAAAGATGTGTTGCTCGAAAGGTACAAAACGTTGTCCTTTATGGGAATGGCCTTGGGAAGGTTCACCGAAACATGAGATTCTTTCCCTTTGGACTTCTCAAAGTTCCGACGGCCGATTCCTTCGAAACAATGAGAGGATAATTAATAATAGTTTATCCCTCGCATCCTCACGGTTGAAGCAACCGAGCGATGATGTTCAAGGATTCCATGACCAACTCGAGCTCAAGGTCCAATCTTTCATCGTATCGGTGCATTGGATGTCGGGGAAGGGGAACGTCCTCAGTTTGCGTAACTATACTTGCACGATCCTCAACGTTTGGACGATGCAATTGATCAAAGGGTAGATTTCCTTAATTTACCTACACGTACATCCGATGCTGAACTTGGTCGAGCGAAACCCATATTGAGAAGGTTTCACGAATTGCTACAACAATGTAACAATTACGTGAAGGACTTTATGACAGTTACAGATCTTCCACAGGAAGCCTTGAATGGGAGGAAGTTGGTCATAAATCCGGATGCCATGCCTGAGGAGGAACATGCAAGGCGTTATAACCGTCCTATGGGTCTACATGAGGTGTGTGTTCTGATGACCGATGAACTCTTTCCTCATGAGCTCGAGATTCGTTTGCATGCTCCTTTTCCTGGTGAGCGGCAGACAGTTGTGGTTCCGGAATGTTCTCGAGCGCACGACTGCTTAAGGTTTGTTTTACTTTTCCCGAAGAGAATTGATAGTTGGTCTGTCCGACGTGCCTCGGAGGCTGAATGACCGCCATGACCTAGTGCCAAGGAGTACTATGCATTTCACCTTCACGAGCGTGATGGTGAAAGGTCTTGCCTCCTTTATGCAGCACGTCTCTTCCACAAGTTTTGTTGCATGGCGTACGCTAAAGTTGAATCCCTTCGTTTAAAATGGGTGAGATTCCATCAAAAAGAATTGCGCTCAGAGTATTATCAGGATTTACGAGACGCTGTGCAACAAAATCAACGTGGTGACGATATTGGGACAAGAGTAGTTTTACCATCAACGTTCACTGGGGGGCCCCAATATATGAGTGAAAGATATCATGACAGCATGACAATTGTGAGACGATTCGGAAAACCGGATCTTTTCATTACTATGACGTGCAACACTAACTGGTCGGAGATCAAACAAGCCCTGTTGTCAGATCAATATCCTAACGACAGACTAGATTTTCTCGCGCGAGTGTTCAAAGGTTATCTTGCACAGCTGATTGATGAGATAAAGAACAAACGGATCTTTGGTAGGGTGAGTGGAATGTTGTATGTGGTGGAGTTTCAAAAAAGGGGTCTACCACACGCACATATATTGGTTATCCTGCATCCGGATGATAAAATTCGGGATGCGGATGCTGTTGACAATGTGGTGTGTGCCGAGATTCCTCCGGAAGGGGAATTGAGAGAAAAGGTAGCCAAGTTCACGTTACATAGGATTTGTGGTGCGGAGAAACGCGATGCTTCGTGTACAGAGGATGGAGAATGCACAAAAGGGTTTCCGAAAAACTCCATTTCCACAACGACATTCAAAGACGAACAAATGTACCCTTCGTATAGGAGAAGGAAACCAAGTGACGGTGGTTTTACGATTGTTCAAAATGGTGTCGTTTACGACAATCGTTGTGTGGTCCCGTATAACCCGTACTTGCTAATGAGGTTTAATTGCCACTTGAATGTTGAATATTGTGCTAACATCAAGGCGTGCAAGTACGTGTATAAGTACGTGTACAAAGGGTGCGATCGTGCTATGGTTTACGAGCGGGATAATAATGCGCCCATCGATAAAGTTAAATTGTATCAAGATATGCGTATTGTAGGTGCATGCGAAGCATGCTGGCGTCTATTTGAGTTTGATGTTGCGGAACAATGGCCCGCGGTGGAAAGATTGCCCGTGCATCTCGAAAACATGCAAAAAGTGCAATTCGAACCTGACACTGAGCATGAGGTTGTTTCGCATGAACCCCCGAAAACGAAATTGACGGCATGGATGGAACAGAACTCTTTGAATGAAGGTGTTCCTAAAGAGGAGCTTCCTCTTTACGCAGAAATCATTAATACTCATGTACGGGATAACAAATATAAGAAGTGGAACCGAAGAAAGCGTGATCTGCACGGTGGTCCATTCGAGAAGATATCTCGGTTGCATCACGTGAGGATCACCGAAGGGGAACGACCCGTGTATGTTCGATTAGGCCTTTTGCAAACAGACGATGCATACTATCAATGCATCGACACAGCTGTGGCGCATTACATGCCTGAAGAAGTTCGTAAAATATTTGTTATGGTTCTCACGTTTGGTCCTGTGAACGATCCAGTCCGTTTCTTTGAACGACATTGGGATAAGATGTGTGATGATTTTCAATATCGTGCAGACAACGAAATTGTTCCTACGAACATTTTGCAATCCTTAGTGTTATTCTATCTTGACCGTATTTTACAGGAGACTGAAAAAAGCATCCGTCAATTCTGCCTTTATTATCTAACACCCGACGGGGAATCACTTGCTGAGAACATAACCAGACATTACGAGAAGAGAACTGTATCCTCAATTGTAAACGACGAGTTATCGTGTGATCCGATTCAAATGCAACGCAAATATGATTCTAATTTTCGACGTCTTCGTCCACGTCAACGAGTGTTGGAGGAAAGAGTCGTTCGGGCTGTGCAAGACAAAAGACCTTTGCGTGCTTTTGTCGATGCACCAGCTGGAACAGAAAAGACTTTTTGCATTGCAACTATTTTGGAGGGCATCAGGTCCCGTTCTGCTATTGCGCTGTCGTCGCGTCCAGTGGCATAACGACGACTCTTTTGACGGGGGGTCGCACGTTTCACTCCCGATTTCACGCACCTTTGAAACATGATAACACGCGTCCCTTCTTGATTGCGAAACAAAGTGATCTGCAGAACTTATCCGCCGTGCCGACTTCATTGTTTGGGACGAGGCTCCGATGAGTAACAAGTTTCACTTGGAAGCTCTTGACATTACGCTTCGGGACCTCTGTAACAATGACGAGTCGTTTGGTGGGAAAATTCTACTTCTCGCTGGGGATTTTAGACAGGTTTTACCCGTTGTAAAACATAGATCGCGAGCGCAACAGATTGATTTGTTATGAATGTATATATTTATTGATTGAATGATGACTGTTTGTGCCTGCCTCGATATGTTTATGAATTCCTTTCTTTAATAAGGGTAGAAAAGTTGTATGAAATCCACGTTCAGCATGAGGATGAAAGTAAATGGAGTGACCAACCATTGAAAGGAAGAAATTCTCTCAAGGGAGGTCCTCATGCAAAATCTGCCATTCCAAAGATTGCAACATTTGATTGATATATTTTCTGAGCAGCTTAAAAAAAGTATAATAAAGTTTTGTAGATGGTAGTGAGACTCACGCTGGAGCAATGTCCCTGGTCCATAGTGAGGTGTTATCACTTTTTCTTGCTAAGGGAAAGTGATTACACTATCATCGAAAGAGAGGAAGCTGTTCAATGCCTTGTCTGAACTGAAACGGAGAGTAAGACAAATACTACTTGGAATGAACAAGTTTTGAAGTGATAAACTAAAATTGGTTCATGTTGAGTAGGTCCACCACACTTCAAAGAGGTACGGTCTTATCAACTGAGACTTAAAAGGTTGTAAATGGGGTTGTCATACTTTGCCCGATAAGGTCGTCAAGGAACGAGCATTGGAATGAGAGAGAGTTGTGGTGAGACTCAGTCCTAAAGCGGGGCTCAGAATCTGAGATGTTATCCCTTTTGGTAGGATTACACCACCCCTCGATACAATATATCTATGTTAAGCTAAAAAAAACAATAAATGATAAATCATCATTGTTGTTATTTTTGTAACTCCATTCTGATTGTTGCTTTGGAGTTTTCATTTATAACCGTCGTTCTTATTGTTAACAAAAGTTATTAGTTTTGTGTCTGTTTGGAATGATATGATTGAATGTTTTGAATTTGTCATTTACTTCCTTTACATGGTCAACATTTTTTTGTAATGTTACTTACTTATTCAACTTATATTTTTTCTTTATGGCAGGAGAATGTCATTTACATTTGTATTGTAAAGTCTCGTTAAAACAGGGGAAAAACCTTGTGTACAGTGAAAAGTTATTTATGATTTGTTTCCTTGCTTATGACCTTGATTTGATTGTCATGATATAATTTGCATCTTTGATGATTATCTCAGAGGTGCCATACCTCTTAGGTTCGTTCTGATTAATACTCGGACAAGAGTATTATACATGTATTCGTATGGTACATAATTGAGTCAGTCTTTATTTCAAATATATAAGATCTAACCTCAAAATGAGAGTTTGACAATAACCTTAAAATTTGAGTCTTGTTTTGGATCATGAAATTATTAATATTCAACAAGCACCAAAGATGTATCCTACTTGAAAAGACACATGGGAAGTGTCATTTTTGAAATATATAAGTTTTGTTTTGCAAAAGGCACCGTTCACCGCCCTAATGGGGCTAGACTTAGATAAGATTAGAAGATCTCAAAATGGGATCGTTCGTTATTTGAAAATATATTTTTTGCATCGATGATATTATGAAATTCAAAAATTTTATATTTATTTTAGGTTTTCGACTCCTGTTACTTATTTTAAGAGATCCCCGAGACGTGTGTCTGATTGGGCCATGATAAAAATTATCAATGAATTTTTGAATATATATATACATATATATATATATATATTGAAATGAACACCTTTCATCCACTCTAGGAGGTTAGTCAGAGAGACTAAATTACCAAGCCTATAGTGGAAAATTGACATCGTAGGGACGTAACTCCGAGCGTGGGTTGTTGACCTAGTATAACCAGGCAGCGAACCTTCATGTTTTGGCCTAGAGTTGAAACCTGAAGGACGACCGCCCTATTGAGGGAATTAGCTCAAGCGATTACCAGAGGGGCCGAGAGTCAGATGCTGAGTAAAACTCAAGATAAGAGGACTTACTCATTATTGCATAACCAATAAGCGAACCACTATTAATATAACAACACAGTGGGCCACAAATCTGTTCTGATGAACCGGACTTTTGTGGGTTTAGACCAAGACCATCGATCCCTTCGCATTAGACTTCGGGCGGGACGGTAATATGGTTTCAGTTAAGACCCGCGTCCAAGAGAGTTAAGTTCATTGACGCCATAGACAACCAACGACGATTTGGGAAGGAAGTTTAAAGTTGTGATAAAGATGATCACTGTCTCTCTTGGTAGTTTTTACAATTGTAGTACAAATTTAGTATTCCCATCATTTGTGTATCGAGTTTGGATTGGGAGTCAGAGTATGTGGGAAACCTTCATTAAAGTCTCAGCAATGGTGAAACGGATGAAGGGACGCATTCAAATCTTGACCGCAACTCAACAAAAACCTCGAATTTAGGTATCCACTTATCAAACATGCGCCTTAATTTTGTAAGGGTTTTATCTTCTTTTTCAAAAGAAAAGAGAAATACATATATTATTTTGTATTGTACCATTTGTTCAGTGTTGTTATCAATCATGTTATATTTTATCAGTTGATTTGATCTTGGGAAACGATATAAAGAAAAATTGTATGAACAATCATAATAAACGTCCCTAGCGATAGGGACATCGCTTAATAGGGTACGAGAATATTGTCGGACCAAATACCCTTACAAGGTTATTTGATCATGCTTTTGCAGTAGACACAGCGATGACATCGACTACCATGACGGGGCCGGTAAGAAATAAAAAGGTGTGTCTGTTTTAACGCGACACTTTGAAACGCTTCCTCGACCATTTAGGTTGGGGCAAACCGGTTAGAAAATCTCATTAAGTATGCAGGCGCGTTATTGAGCATGCGCTCTGATGGTTAGGATCGAAAGTAATAGCCTCCGACTAAAGAGGTCGAGGGGTTCATGGAGTTCCGGTTATGTCGAGAAAAGTCTACGGCACACGTAAAAACTTGATCGTCAAAATATTCATCAGAATAAATTAATAAACACCTCAGTCATTCGCCCAGAGCGATTATTCGCGTGTGATCATCAAGTTTGCAGTAGCGCCCGGATTCCTAGCACTTGCTCGAGCAGGTACCTATGTTCTTAGTCGTATACCATAGGTGAAGTTGAGGCTCGCGCTTGGCCTCCCATATGTAGAAAGACATTTGCCTCCTGGGCGGTGACATCCTGACCGTTCGACCGTTCCAAGCAACTGGTACCCCATCCCTTTCAGAGGGAAACATCATTGGGGACTCTAATATCGCTCGCACAGGCCTTAGACTCAGGTTACTTGAACTGGTACCCACCTACCCACCGGTACTGGGCCTAAAAAATGCCCACTTTTGTCTTCTTCTACTCGGCCTCGAGTACCTGACATATCTACCTCTACTTTGTGTGGTACCGGCCTACCAACTACTTGAGTGGGTCCGCTACTCTTAAGTGTCACGAATCTCTTTCCCCGCCACTTAAGTGTTTTCCCCGCTGCAACCCTCAATGTCACGGTCACATGTAAATACCGACCCTTCGGGCCTTCCGACCTACCAAGTGCCCTAACGGGTCACACACACACTCGAGCCAACAAACACCCAAACATGCATGCAGACCAGCAAGCGTGCAAACGCACAGACTTAGAAAACGGGCTCAGACCACTGGTCGGATTGAGCCCGACTACTATATATATACTGAACTAGTCCCTTTCTATCTGAAGTGGGTGCTAGCTCAATAAGTCTTAGTGTGGGTTGAGGATCAAAGGATTCGGAGGTCGAATTCATCTGACCTCTGAAGTGGCTCCCTTTTAGTAAGGACCACACCTACGGCCCCACGAGCGTCGTTATTTGGCCCCATGTTCTGATGGTCGGGGCTTGAACCCTCGACCTCGGTAATATAACAACTGCTACGATGACGTAGTTTCTTTATTATTATTATTATTTTTTTTTCTTTCGCTTTTTCTATTTTTCTTTTAAGTTTAATATTGTTATTTCGTGGTTATCTGAAATAGATTTATTGTAACGAATCTGTCACAGAAACAAACAACGAATTCATCCAAACGAAAGAGGAACAGACTAGACCCCTTATGTTTGAGGTCTTGGTCACTCGCCCGCACGCGCGGATCTCGACCTCGAAGTCGTGATTTGAGGGAGTCTGCAGTCCCAAGCCAAGCAGAAGACGATCAGGACTGAAGGAGAATGTTGAGTGGGAGGAGCGAGACAACGTGGAAAAAAAAGGATGGTCTCGCGGTAGAAGGAGGCGCGTGGGGAAGAAGCGCAAGCATGCAAGAATGAAGATGGCAGAAAGAGCGCAATAAAAGTAGTGAGGTGGCAGAAAGCGGGAGAAGGAAAAACGACCGAGGAAAGAAGAAGAATTCTCGCAACGAGAAAAAGAAGAAGCGGAAGAAGAAGAAAAAGAAGAAGAAGAAGAAGAAGAAGAAGAAGAAGAAGAAGAAGAGGCGGAAGAAGAAGAAGAAGAAGTGGGACGAGGCAAAGGTAACTTACCTACCACTCACTCGATTCGTAGGAATGCGCGCTTGTGCCTGTAACAGTCTCTCATGTTGTTGTCCGAGTAGGATGAGTAAAATCGAATGAATCTACCGCTACAGAAAAATAATATATGTGTGTGTGTGTGTGTGTGTGTGTGTGTGTGTGTGTGTGTGTGTGTGTGTGTGAGTGTCGATCCCACGGATGAATCCTCCGCTATTTCCATCGATAGGATGAGCAAAATCAGAGGAATCCTCCTCTACTATTATCGATAGGATGAACAAAACCGAATGAATCTGTCGCTGAAACATGAAAGTATACACTATCACACTTGTTCGCTTGGTTGCATGTGTGTGTGTGTGTGTGTGTGTGTGTGTGTGTGCGTGTGCGTGCGTGTGTGTGTGTGTGTGTGTGTGTGTGTGTGTG